AGCAATGCTGAGCAATGTTCCCCTCATTTGGTCATCTCGACTTGCTGGGGCAGGTCTCAAGCCTATGTGCAAACATGTTTCATCCTGAATTGTGTTCCACATGTTAACAACCCTGCAGTTTTTTCATGCAGCCSTCAGGTKCTGGAAGACATCCCGTGTGACCAGRGTCRGAMTTCTGGACCCCTGGACACTTTTCCTGTTGGGGGGTGATTGGTACTACGGAGTCCCATGGGGCAGCAGTGGTCTGGCATTGGCAGTGGCTCCCCACGGCCAACACTGGCATCTCCCCTGGGACATGGTCCATGGGCACCTGAGGGTTGTGCAGCACAGAGCACAGAATGGTGCCCAGCCCCAGGAGGGCTCTGGGTAGTGCTGGGGATTGTGGTTGGTCACAGGGTGTCCTGCTGTTTTGTCATGTGTGCCATCTTTTTTGGCACCAGATGAGGTTTAAGATCCTGTCTTGTTCCTGCTCTTCACACTTGGCACTGCATTACCCAGCTGTTACCAGAGGGTTCTCTGAATGGCTCACATGTACAACCTCTGTCCCCCCTCTTGTGTGAGACACTACTTCAAACGCTTGCCCCAACACCCCTTTCTGGGACTGGGCCCTTCTTGTGTGCCTGGGAATGGCCAAGACATGCCAGACCTGGTGTCTGATGAAAGGCTGCTGCTGCTTGAGCTCATGTCTCTAAGCAGACCTTAAAATAAGAGTCCATGTTACTTCTGGTCTAGCACCTTATCTGTATCCCAGCCACCCTCCCCCACCCGCTTCCAGGGTGACTCCAGACCCTGCACATCTTCAGGAATTAATCACTCAGGTATCCCTGCTCCACATCATCCATTCTGCAGCTTCTCTGTCTCCTCCTCCTCCCTGGAGCTGCGTCTCCTACCCTTCCCTTCCCCAGCCCTGCAGAATGAGCCTCTCCCTCTCCCTCTCCCTTCTTGGCCCTCTCCTGGCAAAATAGTAAGAGTAAGGAACATCCCTGTAAAAATGTCACTATCAGGGGTTGCAGTTATTGACCATCWCTGAAAGTCAGACAAATGAGGGGACTGAGCAGGTGCAGGAGACCAGGCAGGGCAGCCCTGGGCAGAGGCACAAAGCTTGTGTGGAAGAGAATGGGACARATGAGAAGGCCACCCTCAAGCCACTGCCCTTGGTGCCAAAGGTGCCTCTGCTGCTGCTCTCCTGCACATGGATGTCCTCATGGACACCAGGGCTCGGCCCTGCTTGGCCCTGGATGTGTTCTGGCCAGGGGTGAGGATCCTGGCTGCGGGGCCAGCAGCGCAGTGGGAACATGGTCTGCCCCCCGCTTGCTGCTCACAGATGCACAGGGTCTGCAGCAGATGAACAAGAGACAAAAGCTGAGGCACTCCTGCTCTGCTCAGCTTTGCTTGCTGCTTCCTACAACACCACACGCGTCTGAAATTCTGTCAGAGCGAGTGCACTGTGAATTTTGCTGTGTGAGGTCCTCCCTGTGGCAGCTAGCTGTCACACCACACACATCCAGAGACAGAATTGCTAACCCATCATGTTTATAAATACACTCCTCACCAGTCACTCTGGCTACACCATCACCTTCTTCCAGTTTCCCAGGGCTGCACTGTTCCCACTCCCATCTCTGCTGCTGGTTGCAGGGTGTGCACCCTGCTCACCTGGCACCTTCCTTTGCCCCCCAGACACTCTCAGTGGGCAGATCAGCTGTGCTCTTACAGACTCCTTGTCTCCAGCCGAGTCAGCCCGTGCTCCCTCACGGGTGACAGACAGGGTTTGTGCGTCCCTCTCCAAGGCCACGTTTGTGTCATTGGACGTCACAATGCCAGATGCTGGGGGCCAGAGAAGAGCTGCAGCTGGCAGGACACACACCAAATCCAGGGACAAGGACACATCCCCAGTAACTGATGGCCAGATAAAGGAGGGCATGAGCTGAGGACATGGCTTGTAAGGGTCATTTCCTCCCTTCCCAGAACTTGCACTCAAGCTATGCCACCRATGATTATATACCCTGAGCAACCTCCTACATAAAATGCTGAATTAACTGTTTATTGAAGGACACATAGGATTTTACTGCTGAAAAATGGATTTTCCATTAATAGCTAAAGGAATTAAAAAGCCACCTTCTGACCTTTTTTTTTTTTTGGGGGGGGGAGTGTGGGAATAAGTAGCAATTGAGTTGCTTAACAGTTTAAATCCCTGTTCTAGTGTCTGAAAGGAAGGGTCTCACCCTAGCAATGGCCACATCCCATCCCTGCCCCAGCTGAGGAGCTGGAAAACTGCAATTTCTGCTGCTGTGATACTTTCTAAGCAGCACTGCTTCCTTCAGGAGACTCAGCACACATTTTCACAAGATAAAAGGCACAAACTCAAACACAGGAGTTTCACAACATCAGGAAATAACTTTTTCACTGTGACAGGGACCCAGTACTGGCACAGGTTGCTCAGGGAGGCTGTGGAGTCTCTGTCCCCAGGGGTTCGAAACCCTTTTGGACAGAGTGCTGGGCAGCTGCTGCTTAAGCAAAGGAGTAGGACCATGTACCAGACATCCCTTCAACCCCAGCCATGCAGTGATCTGTGAAGAGCAGAGGCTGAACAGCTCACAATTCTGCTGCATGGGAAAGGCTCTGAACTGGCAGGAAACATTGCTTTTACCCCAAAACCTTCCCCCCACACTCTGTAACTTCCAGCCTTACAGTCAAACTGAGGCCACAGCTCCTTCTGCTCCACAAGCACCACCCCTCCTTTTCTCCTGAGTGATTGACCAAAGTAACTGAGTTGTGAACACTCTGCCTGAATATATTAACCTGATGATTTGGGATTCCATTCAGTGCCAGAGACTTGCCCAGCTGGCAGSTTATTTTTTGCCCCAGCTCAGGTCAGGTCCTCCTCCTCTCTTCATTAGGGCATGAAATCCCAGTGCTGCTGCAGCCAGCCAGGTCCCCGCTGGCCMGATTTGCACCTGCTATCCCTGCACTTTATGGCATTCACACGCTCTGTCACGCTGGATTACATCTGCCTGAGYGCTGTCGTCAGGGAGCTCAAATATGGTTCATAAAAGCCTCAAGATGTACCTTTAGAGCTAAATAACAGCGGGGTAATGGGGAGATGTAATGCAGCGTGAAGAAAACCTTGAGGATCAGAGACAGAGGGTTTTCAAAGCAGGGTGATGGGGGGAAATTCTGCCAAAAAATTAAATATTGCACAATTTGATGGTGTTGAAGTGCATCATTAACCCCAAGCACCTTTCCTCTGCCTGGTGCGTGCTTCCCAAATTGCAGCAGCAGTGACTGACCTGCAGGCCAGCTCCAGGATCGGGATGCCACCCGAGGTGAGCAGCGCTGCAGCAGGGACACACAAGCTCAGTGCTGTTGACACTGGTCACCGGCTGGTATTTCCATCTGCAGCCTGCAGGGTGGCCACGCTGGAGACAGGACAAAATAAATCCTGCTGGAGCCAGCAGGCACAGCAGCCAYCCACAAACTGCATGTGCAGGCACACGGATGGATGGGACAGGGGAGCACTGCCCTCTGGGAACAAGAAACTGCATGATGTGCCAAAAACCCCAAAACCAGCCCAGCCACAGCAGCTACTGACACTAGCCAAGGGGGGAAAAAAGCCAAATATCCCCTCTCCACTACTGTGTGTGAGCTATGCAAAGGTACCCAACAGCATGGCAGCATAGTCCAAGGACAAACAGCTAAACAGGTTCTGAGAACTCATATATTAGATCAATTAATCTAGTTGAGGCATCATTTAAATATGGTCTAATATTTAATAATTTAATAGTAATAATAGATCCAGTAATCGAAAACACAAACCAAATAGAGGAGCATGTAAGCTCTGTGCTCTTGCACATTTGTTAGACAGAAGCTCCACCAAGAAGCTGGGGACTGATGCAGAATTCAGCTTTCCCATACAAAAAGAGGTTATATCTTAAAAGCTTGAATGTTTTCAAYATTAGAGCCCCAAGTCATGCCCCAGGAAGAAACATGGAGCTCCATGTAAGGCTGCCTGCTTATGCATCTGGGGAAACTTCCTTTAAACTCAATTGAACAGGAAAGGGCTGAGGGGTGCCAGGAGGAGGAGGGAGGGCTGGCACAGACACACACACCCCCACTACGTGAAGGCTGAGAAAATGGTGGTACCACACRGCCAGGAAAGAGGTGGGGGGCAGCTGATTCTCAACCAGCCCGGCAGCAGGTTCAGTCTGCTGAGGTCTGCTGTGACATGGCCACACACCAACTGGATGGGGGCAGAACCCCCTCAGTCTTCCAGCAATTACAAACTCAGGTGGAGATGACACAGGGCACTGGTGCATCACCTGGTCAYGCCGTGACTTGCCAGGTGACACACTGCAGCATCTTCCTGCATCTGGGACAAACTCTGCGAGCACAGCCTGCACAAGAACTACAAATAAAGAAGGAAATGAATGTTTTCCTGGCCTTTTCCTAGCCCAGAAATCTTCTGCCACCCACACTGCTCCCCACCCAGCCCCAGCATGTTGATGCAAGCCTGGTGGTTGGGAAGATGCTGGCACAGGAGGTGCTCCAAGACAGCAACTGCTGCAGGGGCTGGGAGCCAGCTACAGAAAAAGCTTGTTGAGACAGTTCTGACTGAAAAAGAGGAGACAAACACCACTCCAGACACCATGGCGTTAGGATTATCCCAGAGATGTTAGTATGAATTTTCTTTTCATCTTGGGGAAGTCAATGCCTGCAGCCTCATTAGTGGTCCTGCTTCACACGTGATCTTACCATGGATGTTCTGCTCTCGTGGCAAAGGAAAGGGTCCTACAGATGCAAATGCTGCACAGCTTCCGTAAAGCAGGGATGAGAATGGGGCTGACCATTACTTATGTGGGAATAAACACAGCAAGGCAGGCACTGGGATTATTTTCTTTTGCAAGGAACAACTGGGAAACAATCACCAGGGTTTTATAGATTCCCTGACAAGGGAAAATTGAAGGGATAAGAGCAAATGCATTTGATACATAAAAGACTCATCATTAGAAATGAACATATAAAATTTAATAGCTTGGTTTAAAATACATTTTCAATTAAAAAACAGCAGGCCAAACAAAAAAAAAAGATCAGTTTCATAAAACATACATAACATTGCTGCTACTGTTATAAGACCCGTGTCCCAGAATATCTTATAGTGGAAAACAATCGTCAGATTTCGTTCACATACTTCATTAAGCAGTAATAAGAAATAACATTCATGTCAATCTTACCTCTATGGAGACTCTACATCTACTTCCCTGACCCTAGACCAAGTTTCTGTAATAAAACTTCCATTTTCAGTAAAAATGTGTAAATATATATATATATGTAATCTATATATCAGGTTAAAAAAAAAAAAATTCCCTTGCCATAGTAAAATGATTCCTGTGGCTGCTGAAGGGAAGCCCAAACAGGAGCTGGTGCTGGCTGGGTACRAGTCCCTGGCTGCTCTGCCAGCGGTGGATTCCTGTGTTTGGTTGCAGGTGTTGGACTCCAGCCCCAGAGCAGAGAGGGGAGCAGTGCCCAGAGCATTGCCAACCTCTGCTGGGACCCAYCGGCCAAGGAGGAGAAGGAAGGAGGGGGGAATGGAGGGGGGAGTGGAATGAACCAGCTCAGGATTGATCCAAATACAAATTCCAAAATACTRTGTTTCATATAAAGCATTCCCAAAGAAGGTGGGAAGGGACTTCAAGTGGTCACCTGGACTCACCACCAAGGGAGAATCAATTACACCCATGTCAGCCCAGAGATGCCTTTGCCCAGCCTGGCTCTGAATGACCAGACCTTTGATGCCAAACCACCACCTCCATGGGCAACCTCCTCTTCTCACTAGAGAAAATTGCCTCAATACCCAACCTGAATTTCTGCAATTCACACCCACTCCTCCTTGTGCTTCCCATGGAAAGGAGGATGYTTCCATTGGTTGGGAGGCTACTCCTATCAACCATCCCATGGAACATGACCCCTCACCAGCCAAATTATGCAGGCCTTCCTCCTCAGAAGCCACGAGCTCTGGCTGAAGGACCACAGGTCTGGCCTGTCTGAGACATCAGCAAGGACTCGGCTCCACTGTCAGGGCACCGTGCTCCAGCAGAGGCCTCGGTGGTGCCAAGCAGAGCCAAAGAGGGGTCTCCTATTTCTTGCAGGTCATGCTCCTGTCAATCAACTCAATGTGGCATTTGCCTCCTTCTTCCAAACAGCATGATGACAGAGCAGAACAATAGTAGGTTACAATTCGTTAACCATTAAGTAAAATTGTTAATTATTAAGTAAAATCATATCCTACTTTTCCAGACTATTTCTCCAGTATTTCCAGGTTGACCTTCATGTCCTAGGTGAGGCATGTGCAGCTTTCTTTGTACTGTCTGAAAATATTATTAACCTCTTTCATTATCCAGATCCCTAACTACAGTTCTGACACTGGAGCTGGCACTCACATTCATCTGCTCACCATGAAATGGAGGATTTTGCCTTAGAGACAAGTGCTGACCTTTGAATGCTGCTCTCTCACTTGCTACTGACCAAAAGGTGCCTTCCCTTCATAAGCACATGCACACGAGGAGTAAATAGCACAGAGCAGTACTTTTTGGAGATGTCTGGCACTCCCAGCTGGGGCTCAGGATGCCTACTGTGCCCATTGGGTCTCTCCAGCTCAGCAGTGGGTCCATGGTATGTACGGACACCAAGAATGTGTAACCTTCTTGCAAGTCCTACTCCCTGCTAACACATGGCCTGCTGAGCCATTTTGCCACCTTGCTCCTTGCCTGTGCATTTCCAGTCGTTGACATCCAGACCCTTGCAAGCCAGCTCCAGCCCTAGGGTTCATCCAGCCTGAGCTGCTGCTATCGGTAGCATCCAGCTGAGCCTTAGGTACACTGCTACAAAAAAAATCCACCCTCCTGGAGACCTTCTCCCTGACCCCTAAAAGCGAGAGTTCAAGAGAACTGCACTGCTGAGCTCCGCTTGGGACCCAGCTCTCAGACTCAGGCCAAATTACCTCCCAGGACAGCAGTACACATCTGTTTCAGGACTCAGAGGCAGTTCATGAGAGAAGCCAGGACTTCCTTTGCCTGGCTGTGCATGAGGATTTAGGAGAGAGCTGGTATCTTTTTCCTTCCACGTAGGAAGATCCATGTTTAACAAGCAGGTCTCTTGTGCCTTCTATGAATATACAAACGTGTGCTCACCTTTGGTGTATCAAAAGGGTTTGTCCATTTTTAAATAGCTACGTTAAATATGTTTTCTCTGTATATGGCATCCTTTTAGATGGGCTTCATTGCATATAGTCACGGTATATACAGAACACCATATTTTATATATATTATATATCGCTTATATGTACACATTTACAAACCTTCAAAAATATATTGCACTTATATACAATATAGCTTCATCTGATGAGAGTTCACACAGTTACTAAGGCGAGTTCTTCATAAGCAAGGCAGTTTTACATTCCCCCCAAATGACACAAGTGATTTCAACAGTCTGCCCTGGTCACAAGTAAACATTATAAAGACTTTTCTCCAACCTGCATGCAACTCCTACTAATATAAATTAGTAGTTTTGCAGCTCTCCCTAGCAGAAAACAGTCCAGTAAAATGGTATTAGCTGATAAYGGGCTCAAACATGGTTACTGAATAGATAAATAAGACATCACGAGTCTAAAAGGCCACCTTCCAGGAGATTCCCCTCCCATACCTACTAGTGGTTTATACACTAGTAAAAATATATACATGCTTTCCGTTTAATTGCCAATCTTTGCTTGCCCATTTCAAGTGCAAATAAGGTCATGAGCAAGAACACAAACACAAGTGTATTAAGCAAAACCACTGCTCTGCTCCCCAGAMCAAGTCAAACACCTAGCTTTTTTTCTGGAGGTGATTAGTGTTTTGCCCAACATACTGAATTATGGGAAAATGTTCACTTGAGACCTGTGTTTAAAATCCACAGAGGATCTGTGATCTTAGATCTCAGTCAGAGTGAGTTTGTAAGATCCTCCAACTTCTTCAATCTGCAGTTGGAATGTATCTTCATTAGAATAGTGTTTCACAATGTTATCATCCATGTTGACCAGAATTCTGGAAAAATAAAATAGATCAGATATTTTACAGTTCTAAATTCCAAGGACAGCAAAAGCACCCTCAAACCTCAGAAAGCCTAGACTACCAAAGGGTAACACAAGATCCCTGCTCATCTCTCTCTGACTCATTGCTTCCATTGCAGGTATGGCTGTCCTTACCCAAATCTGCCATCAAAGCGGCAGCCACACTTCTCAGGGTCTGAATGGAAGGGTTAAATCTGGCTCCTGGACCAGGGAGAGAGAGAGATCTTGAAACCAGTAGAATCCTTCTGAAGCTGTGGGCACTTGGAGCTCKGAATGAGTTTGCTTGACAGTTATAAACTATCAGCAAAAAACCCTACAGAAGCTCACAGAGAAGAAACMACGCATGCTTGGCCACTTCTTTCATTTGCCAGAAAAGTTAATACCTGTGTATTTGTGAGCACACACACACACACACACAAAGCTGTGCTTAGCAGCGCCTTAGATATCACAAATTCTAAACTTCTGCAGCTGTTCTGGTTGGGTCATTCTGCTATGAAAGCACAACCTTGGAAGGCTGTAATTTTCTGGCTAGAGGGACTTTGGGGAAGAGGCTGAGACACCAAAGTGACTTAGAGACAACCCAAGAAAATTATTGAGAAATTAAGAGATAAAAGCAGATGATGTTCAGAAACTCTATTTATGCTACAAAATAAAAAGAGGGTGAAGTGTGGTCTCTGTGAGAAACAGAGACTCTACAACAAAGTTCTCTTCAATTAAGCCCACAAAAAGACAGCCAGGGTATAGTAACTAGCAAAATGCAGATTTAGTCATCCCAGTCAACCACTGGAAAAATTTAACATGGGTTGAAGGAGGTTCCTCACCATTGCGACTCTTTTAACAAACTGAACTCTTCTTCCTCTGACATGATCAACTTTGATTCAAACAACAACTAGGTCAGAGAGTTTGCATGACAGGAAGTCAGACTACTTATTTCTATATGACCCTTCCTATCGTCTTCCAGTCTTCAGCTCCAGGTATGATGGCAAATGTATACATTGTGTGCACACACACACATAACAGCAAATGGTATTTGCATATCTGCAGTGCATYGAGGAATTACACAGCAGATCTGCCAACAGGTTTGAAAAAAGGTGTTCATATTCTTAGGCACTTATTGCACAGTAAATACTCACCCTTTTTTACATTTTTTGAAGATTTTTCCTATTTTATCAAAAGGAACATCATACTTGTCAGATATCTAGAACAAAAGAAAGCAATGATTGGTGAAGCAAGGAGACTGCTGTCATTACACTTCCAATTTTACAGACAGGAACAACAAAAAAAAGCCTGCAGATGAGGACAACTGCTCTGCCGTATATAGGCAACACTAAATCCCAAATTATAGCGAAGTCTACAGATGAGAGCCCCTTCTCTGCATTTTGCCAACTTCTGTGCAAAAAATTTAATGTTTGAAACCTGGATACTTATTTCTCATACAGCAACCTCCTGCCCCTACACTCAAAAGCCCATCCATTAAAAACCCACTCCATACCTTGACTCTCATTCTCTCTTGGCTCTCTGTTCTCTTAGCATACTGAAAACCATTTTTAAATTTAGTGTCAGAGGGACCAAGTGAAAACTAGAAAAACACGACAGCAGCTGAAAGAAGAAAATAGCAGCAGAGAGAAGACCTCTTCTGTTAAGGGCCTGAGGTGATCAGAAACATTTCCCTTCCCCAGCAGGGTGACATCAGTGTGGAGCCACAGTCACCGACCATGGCCCTTTACTGCAAAACCTCTAGAAAGTCAGGAGGTCAGTGACCTAAGCCTGGTTTGCCTTGGCCAGCTGCTCTATCACACCAACAGCAAGTACCAAACTAACACACGGATCTGACATGCAAATATACAGAGAGTATCCCCCCAAKTTACAGCCGTGAGTTCTTGGTTCCTTGCTTTAAGAAATCCAAGTGAAACCACAAAGGTGCAGCTTCACTTMAGGACCATGGGGTCCTAAAGTTCACAGCCTTCAATCCCTCTCTCCATTAGCCCCCACACTCCAGCTGGCAGAGCCTCACAGCCAGGAAGACATAAAGATTCTGGTTACAGAACAATCTCTGCAACCAAAAGTTAAGGGCCAGACCTGCCTGTACAACCCCAAAGCCCCTGTTCTCTGAGCACAGGCATTAGTCACAGAGACAGACAGAAACGTCAGCTTTGAGTTCATGCCAAACATTACACCATTCCTTGGACTTAAGCTGTGTACTTCCCTYGCTCTGCAGCAGCAGGGATAGCAGAAGGCTATTTCGGAAGTCGAGCACCAGAGAGCAATTTCACACATCTGTGCCCAAATATCTAAAAGTCTTTAGCAACACATAGAAGCTGAGACTTGTAGCTCTGCATTAGGAGATTGTGAAAGGGGAGTGGAAGCCCCCAAACATGGCTTTGAAAGGCTGAAACAAACCCGAGCCACTGGACACATTCTGAAAATCACTACTAACTAAAGTACCCTCCTCTGACAAGAGGAACATCCAATCATCAAGCTTGACACACCTGGATTTTCAGGAAGGCTTCTTACACCCAGACCCCACAGATGTGGGATAAGGTACTCAAAACAGAAGCTTCCTGAATCCCTTACAAATAAATTAAAGTATTATTTGCATTAATTTCCACGTTATTGAAAGGAAATCTTCCCTATTCTTCTTATCCAGAAGAACAGAAATATGTGGACACAAGCTGTGATTCAAAGTGTGTGACTGGCCAGTGTGTAAGGACTGGGTAGCCAGGGCTTTTTCTCAAGGACTGTAAACTAGCCTCACTACTTACCGCTTCCATTAGGCCTTTCAGACATGGTGTCTTCAACATTAGAGCATCAAAGACTTCCTCKGACTCTTTTCGGACATAGAGCAACACTGGAAAGCAATTTGGAGAGAGGAATTAACTGTGCAATTGCTCCACAGGAAAGATCTGCATCCCAAAGAGGCTAAGTACACAGAGACATCCACTGAGGCTCTTATAAAGAGATACACATACATACATCCAATATACACTCCAGACTGTATCACAAACAGGCACAGCTAGCTTGGCTCAAAACTTACTTCTTGCACATAAAGCCACTGTATGCTCAAGCATCTTTATTGTCAAAATATTTTTGCATTTTCTTTATTTTCTCTATTATTAGAAAAAAAAGTCATATTTGAAATAAAGGAAGGAGGAACACAAAGCACAAATCTTTGAGACTCTTGAGTTCCTCCATMTCTCACAGTCATTTGCCATAAGACTTTTCACAATCAAATTTGACAGATGCTGTCACAGCAGGTGAAGGCATCCTAGCCACCTCCTTATTTTTAAATAATTTATTTGTACAGTGCTCTGTTCCTCCTACGCTGTCTCATCTTTCTTCCTGCCCCTTGCTGTGTTTCAGTAATACTCATACCACCACAGCTGACATACAATGCAAGCTTGATCTCCTGCTAGGAGGGGAACGAAAGAGCAAGAACACCAATTAGGTGAGCATCCCTAGCGTTCTCAAGCTAGYACAGACTCATTGTATGTAACATCAGACTCATTAAAAACTACATTAAGGCTGAGGAATAAGCCAGGAGAGCAACAAAGCTTGGACTTTAACAGCTTTGCTGTCTTTAATCCATCTTCTAATGACTAGGTGTTGCAGGCCTGGATTGTTTGCAAGGGTTCATCAGCCACAGCTTTGACACACCTGCAGCATGGAACAATTACTGGCATTTCTAATTGAACAAGGTGAACTCGGGACAGCACAGCACTTTGATGCATTTCCCAGTTTTCCTGCTAAAGGCAGGTTTAGAAAGGGAGGACGGTAGATTTGAAAAAGGAAGACAGCACATGTCAGATGATAGCCAAAAGAGAGAGAATCCCATGAGCCTTGTTTTACGGCATACAACAACATGAAAAAAAAACAAGAAGTCCTATTTCCTTCCATAAAATTCATCCTTCCTAACTAGTTTATCCACACTACAGAAGTGCAGGCCTGTTATGGTCAGACTTGCTAGACTTAGCATTTGCTGCTTCACAGGCTTAGTCCTTCAAGCTTTGTTGTGGTCCTTCCACACACAACTGTCATCAAGCAGGTACACCACCTCCACCACCCCAAAGGGATCTCTCATCTGCTTCCACAACGCCAGAGCAACATGAAATTGCAAAGACTGAAACTCAGTTAAAAATTAGCAGAATATTTTTTAAGCTTGGCTTTCAGAGGTGAACATTCCATTTCCTGGCACCATGAAAGATGCAACAGTTTTACACCCAGAACCAGTTCTTAGTGTTCACTGCCTGAAGTCCTGGAGGAGATTTCCAGAGTATTATGTAGCAGGCTACAGGATGAATTCTCTCCCCCAGTCCATTAGGGATACTGGTAAGCTGCTCACCTCCTCTTGAGTCTCTTTCCTTGGTTCAGCGCCAATTACTGTCTGAGTAGGCAGAAACTCCCACAAATTCCCACACTGTGAATGATTTGCACAGCTGAATCACATCCTGATACATGAACCATCACTACTCAAAGCCACAAAAATCAGGCTGAAGTATACATCAATATGAATTAAAAAATTATTTAGCCTCAGATGCATCTCTCTATCATGATGGACAAATATTCCCACTATTCAGTCTCTGAAAAAGAAAATACCTCTTTTTGGCTCTTCTATTCTGGCCATCTTATTTGGAGTAGCAATAAAGTCCTCTTCACCAATATAAGCTCCTCTCTTCAGGTTGGAGCTGTCATTGACAGGGCAAAAAGTTAGCAGTRGTACAATTACAGAGACTTAACCCTCTGTCTGAGGGCAAGGTGTCAGGAGGTTGCAGGGCAGCTCTTACCTTTCACCCTCCAGTTCTTCTGAAGCAACAGGAAGGACCTTTAAAAACAAAGGGCAGATTTGGTGAATATTTCATCCAGAACTAGAAWTCATTTTCTCATAATCTTTCAATGCTGAATCAAATGATACTTTGGCTCAATCTTCCAAAAGCCAGTAAGCATCTACTTTACCTTTTTTAATAAAAAATATTAAGGCATCTTAAATGAGGGACAGGAACAAAGAGGAGCTAACTAGCTTCCTACCTGGACTGGTGTAGAGTCTTCTGACAAAACTCAGCACTAGGGCTTTGTAGGAAAACATGCAGGAATGTCAGCCTTAGGCATACAGGTTTACTCTCCATCCCTTTTAGGAGTTCAGACAACGCTCTTAAAAAGTAAGGTTTAGCTCATGCAAGAGCATGGCAGAACTCCCAGCACAGGAAAGCTCAAGATTTTGAAACTTGGTTGCATGCTAATTTTTTCCCTTCCAGTTTCTTGTAAGCTGGAACTTTCCAGGAATGCTGAGGCAGGGCGCTCTGGCAGTGGATCACAGAGCTGACACATGTGCCAGTTCCACAGCAGAGGTTTTCACCCTGCAGCAGGCATCTGAAAGAGCTTATGCTGCACAACAGCACACCAGGATCCCAAGGGATGTTATGAGAGAAAACCAGCCTGCAGATCATGCAATGGAAATGCTATAGAAAAATCCTTTCAGGTTCACAGAAACTGGATTTGATAGGAAAATAATTTGATGATAAAACATCCCCTGACAGCTCTAGCCAGTGTATCTTGGAGCAACATCTCTTGCCCACGTGAAACTCAACATRTATTTGTATTTGCAGTCTGACATTTCATGTGTACATCTCCACACACAACATCCCAGGCCTTTTGCAAATACATGYCAGAGCCTCCTCATCCCCACACCCATGAGCTTTACTCACGTGAGCCCCACGCTGAAGGTTTGCAAAATGAACATCAGGAATGAACAGGACAGGCTGAGTGTCTAGGTCCATGAARGGCTTGAAGATGGTGATGTCTGTACGTTTGTGTGAGGGAAGCATGGGCACTTTGACATCAGAAACTGCAGAGACAAAGATTGGGATAGAGGATAGTGAAGGCCCTGAAGGGGCCCTACATGATTTAAAAGGTACATATGCTATTGAACAAGGGTACTCTGCAGTCAGGATCAAAGCAAGAAGCTCCTTTGATAAAGATAAGTGATAAAGAAGTTTGAACTTTGGTTGTCCAGCTGAGGGCCCTACTCTACTTTCACAGAGTTGTCTAAGCTKTCTCCATCTTTCCAATTAAGCTGCTCAACTTTGTTCAGGTATTTATTAGGATGGACAATAACCTGGCGCTCACCCCAAGAGAGGAACTGAGGTCTTCCATGTACCAAGCAAACCATCCAAACAGAGCAAAAACCAGACCCTGCCCCACCTTCTCCATATCCATTCCCTCAAAAGCTTGCCCAGGAAGGTAAAAAGAACACGAAGGGACAATTTGCATGATCCCAATTGGAAAAGCCTCTCWAAGAGACAGCACCACAGAAGCACTATACTACAGAGGTAGTACAAATACCGGTTTGGGCAAGTTGCTGTATTTAGAGTTACATTTTGGTTCCTCTCATTGTTCATCCTGGTCACCTCAGGCTGCCAGCCCTTAGTCCATCCTCCCAGGATCAGCACTGTCTCCCACAGAGCACTTTGGCTCTCACAATGCACCRGCYGATGTGACACAACCCACCAAGAGGRCAGACTTCATCCACAAAGACCCTCTGAGGAAAAAGTGAGGCAGTGCCTTAAACTGCACTTCAGACACATTCATGTCAAACTACCACAGTCAAAGATTTTATTTTACCAAGTGGAAACATATCCATCTAAGGTCAAACCAACTGCAAACAAAACAAATGTTTTTCAAACAAAACCATTTCTCATGTCCTCAGTAGAAAYGACTATTTTTCCCTTGCAAAACTGATTTTTCAAAAGATTGCTCAATYCCTGTAAAAATAACTTTGACCAAAAGCCACCAACTGTTTCTGCTGTTGAACAGTTCATGCACACCTGGCATTTGTGATTATGGAGGTCAGTATAACAGCTTATGGCTTAAAGGAATCAAAAACTTCCTAAGTAAGAACTAAAGAAGAAAGCACTGCACTTTCCAGGAAAATAAGGGTCATATTGGGCTAAGCCCAAGCCTAGAAAATTAACATTGGAAAGCAGCTTTTGTAAAATCATAAGATCCTGGAAATGTGTATCGAAACTGTCTTCCCTTTCCAGCCATTATGCAAAGGGCTGCATGCAGTAATCTGCTGGGGCTACTACATTTGCGAAATCCTAACTGTGCTAAACCTGCYTCTCATGATGTACCTTGTAAAAAAACCAAAAACCCAGCCCTTTCCACAACTGCCCTTGAGCAAACAGGTTCCCTTCAGCATTATCTTCTGAAGCTGCTCCAGCAGCCTGTACCTGCTGCGTCAGGAAAATCCTGCCTGGTGAGCTGAGAGGTGCGTGCTGGCTGAACCAGTCAGGCTGTTAACAGCACACGGAGAGCAAGCGAGAGCACGCGCCTGCCCCGTGCCAACAAGGAACAGGGAGATACATCTTCCTCTAAGCAGCTCTGCTGGTGAATAACCAGTCATCCAAACACAGGATCCATCATCTGGAGCAGCTAAAGGAAGGTGCTTCACAGGAAGAAACTCCTCAACCTTGACATACTACAGTGCTGAGRTCTCCAAATCCTTCACACATACAGAAAATTTGAAATTACTTGCTAAGGACCACTTTGCTCTAGAAGAGTGAGCATAGGGCTGGGAGGTTCAGCCCCAAGGCTGCCACAGCCTTGCTGAGGAGTTGTAAGCATGTTTTTAATAGAAGTTAAAGCCTAAGTTTAGGATCAAGCTGAAAACATTGGGAACACATCATTCTCACTGCCACCTGGATCTGCAGGGACTTCAGCACTGCCCAAAAATCCCACTTTCCCCCCACCATTTCAACTGCTACAACCCATACCTGATTGAATACACAGCAGGACCCTGTCTTAGGCAGAAAGAACGATGCAGAATGGAGGCCTAAATGACCCAGTGTTTTGCAAAACACAATGGCTCCATAAGGAACTGSTTAAAACTGGTCCATAGAGATCAAAAATTAACATGAGAGTTCTACTGCACAAGCTATTTGTGACCAAAATGAAATCCAATATTTAAAATACTGATGGAATAAATTCTACTTACAGGCATTTAGCTGGGAGCTGGGATCAGTGCACTTGCCTTTTCTTTTGCTTTGCTTTCGCTCTTCATCCCTGATCTTCCTYTCTGCTCCCTGTCAGACAAGAGATTAAGGGAAAGGAGGGAGGGAGTGAAGAAGAGGGGAGAGAGAGAAGGTATTTTTAATTTTTTGAGGGTTTTTTTTTTTTCAGTTGCAAAGACAGAAGCACCAATTCTTCCAGAGCTGTGTCTGTGGAGGTCTGTTCCACAGTACCTGAGCTACAGATTTGCCACAGTGTGCCAACTTTGAGATCTGCTTACTTTTGAGTCCTATCATGTAATGAACTCCAACAACCATATCCAAGATGCAAACACTTGCTTTTTCTTTCAAGTCAGATGGAGATACGATGACAGAAAATACCCACACTTATAACAATCTTATAAAGCATTTGATAAAAATGTAGTTGAAATGTTTAAAACAATAATGAATTGCAGGTTCCCACAGTTTAAGAGTTCACTCGATTGTCATTAAAATCTACAGAATWTACACCACACCTGGATCACCAACTGCAAAATAGCTCCTGCCCATTTCACACAGAGCCTGAAGCAGTTGCACCAGCCCTCACTGAGTTCAAGCTGCAGATGTGCATTGCTTTAAAGCAGGGATTATTTATTTTCTTTTTATCAGGGCCAGGCCATGGTAGAATCCACAGATCCCYATCTGGGTTCATGGCTGCACTGTTCCTGGCCTTCCAAACCAAGCAGTGGAGGGGACAGTGCCATATTGCCCTATTTTCTGCAAGGTGCAGACAGCTATGATAGACAGAAGGAAAGMAGCAGCTTTGGAACAGTGTTCATTYCTCCYCACATGTGAGTTAAGTTAGYGATRYCACATTGMCAGCTGCATGAAGCGATAAGCACACAGGAGATCCCCAACACTCAGTCCTGGTGCTAACACCAGATCACCAGAACTGGTATACACAAGYTCTACCTGTCTCCCAGCTGCAAAGCAGGGCACGAGGTAACAGTAATCTGGTCACACTCCCCTTCAAAGCTGCCAAAACACACCCACATCCTTGTATGGTACTGGAGGAAGACTCGATCAGCTACAGCAAAGGAGGTGTCAAAACTCCTGTGGCCACGGGGTGGGAACTCGTGCCTAACTGTGAATGTGAGAAGAGGAACAGCCCTCTTTACTTCCCAGTAAATCCATGCCCTGTAGATGCCAGGCTGCCTGTGCCTGCTTAGTAACACTGGGCTCATCTGCACTGAYAATAAACAGGAAAATTATCCAAGACACACATTAATGCACATAATCTTTTCTCCCACCCAGTAAGAGAGAAAAAAGCAGCTTCAGGCAGCTGTGGTGAAAAAGCGAAAAAATTACATAAGAAAACAGAGGTATTGCCAGCTTTGTTTGACCCYATAAAGCTGATATAGCCCACTGCAGTGAAGACATCCCACTTAAACCTCAGCACAGCTGGACCTGAACCCCTCAGTGTCATCCCTTAGCAGAATAGTCACAACATCACAGCTTGACCAYAGAAAGATGAAATTTGGCTCCAGATCTGATTTTTACCTTTCATGTGGAAATAATAAAGTTGTGCTACTCAAACATTGTGCTMCAGAACAGCATCTGCTTCCTTGTGGAGAACATGCTGATTCAACAAGAGCACACATTTTGAGAAAACCTCTGCTCTCCCATTCCCTGTGTGAAAGTCAACTTGATCCAGACTACAGGGGCCCAGGTAAACACATCTGAAATCACACTTAAAAAAAAAAAAAAGCAAGTTATATCTTGATAACAGACTTTTCTGCCCTGCCAGCAGAGCTCAGAGAGGAATGGTTTCAAACTAAAAGAGGGTAGATTTATACTGGACATAAGGAGGACATTTTTTTATGGTGAGGGTACTGAGGTACTGGAACAGGTTGCTCAGAGAAGCTGTGGATGCCCCATCCCTGGAAGTGTTCAAAGTTCAGGTTGGATGGGGCCTTGAGTRACCTGGTCTAGTRRAAGGTGTCCCTGCCCATGGCAGAGGTGTAACTAGATGACCTTTAAAGATCCTTTGCAACCCAAACCATTCTGTGATCATGCAGCTGAAGGAACAGTATCTGTGTTGCTCCCATCCCCATCAATGCTCCAGCAGCCTTGCACTCGCTCTGTCCCTCCAACAGCATCTCATTCATTTGTTCCTACCATCCCAAAAAAGCCTCCCACAGCACTGCCCATCACTACCAGAGTAACAGCAGATCCCAGAGGGCAACACAAGCTGCAGTCTGCGAAACCCTGMATTTAATTTTCCTCATGTGGATGCATAGCTGAGGTACCATTCCCAGCAGAGAAGGTTTTCTTCCTTTGGGATCCGTCAGCCCCATCCCTGCTCAGTCCAAATATGGGTGAGTGAAGCCTGACAGAAGCTTGAGCCATAACACTTTACAGGATGACACCATTATACCCTTACTGCTTAACTCAAGTCCTGAAACCACAGAGGATTAGATGAAAACCAGACATCCCAGGCAATGCAAGCAAAGCCTTGACAAAGGAATAGAGGAGGCACCCCTGTTAGGTGGCCACAGCACCATRATTTTCTGCTGGTGTGGTTATCTTTTWATTTCAACAGACTTCCACATTGYAGACTTGTCCCTTCGTGAACAAAATATGGGTAAYAGAACTTCTACAGGTAAGAGTGATCACATGAGGACAAACATTCAGGACTGYAACAGGATGTTACCCATAACATTCAGTTTTATTTTTTATTRTCYTGTTCTGATTTTAATTTACATTTCTCCTTCCTTTCTTCCCTCCTCTTTTAATTCAGATACAATTTGCAAAGTATCTAGAGGAATAAAGCAGGAGAGTAAGCCAAAATCCCAAAGGGAAATAGAAGATGCACTGGCATTACTTCATTACTGGATTTGCTGAAATTTCTGCCATAGTTTGAAGGAAGCCATTGGAGTCTAAGTGCTGACTACATATCTGCCTTTTTATTAACCAATTTGTCTTATTAGCAGTGGTACAAGCCTACCAGTAATTTTAGCATTGTATCAGCAATTGACTGGACAACTGAGGAATAAAAGATCCCCCCTACACTGCAGCAAGTCTATCCTCTCTGCATTGCAGAGAATACAGGTTGATAACACACCAGACTCCCAGATTACTGTGGTGAAAAAACTTTACATGACAGACTCGCCTCAGTCTCATCTTGAATCACAAGAAAGAAATAAAAACAAAGGCCTGAAGAATGCTCATGAGACCCAAGCCTCTTAGGCTTACTGGCAAGTCTTTAAGATAGCTCTGGAAAGCTTTTGCTAAGTCCCTCTAAACTCTTTGCAGAAAGCATCACAACAGGAGTAGGTACAGGCAGCTCTCCCAGCTGTGCAGGAAAGCAGAGGGACCTATTTAAAAGCCCACAGATGGAAAAGGGGATGTGGCAGGGTGAGTTAATGGGATGCTACAGCACGGGCACAGTGCAGAGGGCTCCATGTGTTATTGGGAGGTACCACAGAACAATGGTGCATGAGATGAATCTTTGTGTCARTGTCCTGGGGAACACCAAGCAAAACCAAGTGTGTGACCAGGGCAAAGCCAGCACAGGACTAGAGAGAGGAGTGACAGGGCTGCCTCAGCCCTGCAGCTGTGCAGGGGGGCATTTGAGGTATCACCTGCAAGAGTCTGCCCTGTGAAGACAGAGTCTGGATTTAAAGACTGAGACGCCCAAATCAAGCAGTTTATCAGCAAAATAGGAAGTAAACATGGTTCACAGCAATCAAAAGGACTGGGGAAGTCCAGGAAGCATTTATYACAGCCTCGAACAATCTCAGCCACTCGGGAAATAACAACATTACACATAATGCTGCCCTGGACCTTCAAAACACTGCTCAGGCATGAACAGGTTATGAAGATTGGGAAATTTCCTTTCTTTGCAAACTCAATCAAACTTTTACAGCTGCTTTCAGCTCAGCTTCTGCTCTTTCTTTCCCAGCATCTGTTGAACAGTGGCTTTGGGAARGGCATTAATTCTGGGTGCTAAATGTGTTAGGCAGAACAGTCCAATTACAGCACCCATCCAGCTTGTAAATGGGCTTTTTTCTGCTGCTGTATCTCACAGTGGTACATCTTTTGCTCACAAGGTCACAATTACTGGTTCAGGTTTTTTTTATAACGAATGTAATATGAACACATGAAGAAATTTTAAAGGACCAACACAACAGAGCTTGGACAAAAAGACAAGACTCCACTTGCTCCAGTCAATGGCAATGATTTCTCCCACTGAAGACTCTTTCCAGTGTCWGTCTGCCACTGAATGACCTTTCTCTAAAGTCAATGCTCAGGAACACTTAGCACTCCAGCATTTTGAGAGCAGCAAATGTATTTGAAATCATCATAACATGTAAAAGCCAAATAGAAGGGGTTGAAATTGTTTCCTTGCAAAGGCTAAACACAGACAGGACTTTTCAGTGAGCCAAAATAGCAAGTGACACAATTAGGAAAAAAAAAAWAMMWAMAAAARCTGCTRMGCTGTGTAATAGCCTTTCCCAAATGGTCATTGGCACATTGGCCCAACCTTACCTTGTCGCAGAAGACTTTRATTTGGCAGTAGGCTCTGTGGACAGGTTTGTTACTCCTGTTATTGTAGCTGTAAGTGTCAATCTGAAGATTCAGGGGCAGGCCTTTAACTCCCTTCTGAGAGGAAAAATCTGTGCTGAGGCAGTTCACAGAAATAAAAACCTGCAGAAGAGGAAAGAAGCAGCCGTCAGTAGTGACACACAGAGTCCTGGCTGACCACTGAGTGATACTCAGGGAGTGCTAAGGGAGACCYAAGTGCTGTTGCTTGCCACTACAAAGCAGCACCTTCTTTCTTCTGAGACATCAGGTAAAATCCCCAAGAAGCAATACAACATTCTTAACCTTCTATATAAGCYATTAGAGGGGACAAAGGCACTTAGTCCAAAATAGATTTGAACAAACCCTCCAAACTTTAGGAAGACTCCACCCATCTTTCCACCCAAAAAGTCTCAAATGTCAACATCAAACTTTTAGCAAAAGGAATGCTCCTACACTCAATCCTCACTGCTCAGTGTTTATTATTATCTTGGTAAGAACAAAACCATGTTTCAAAAAATTCATGTTACTTTGGGCAAGTTAAAACAAATCTTTCCATGAGTTTTACATAAGCACATCTTATGCTTGAAACTACTGGGTTGAGGTTTTTTTGGTTGTTTTTTTCTAAAGGTTATTAAAAGCTTTTAAAAAATATTAGACAACATGTAATCTTTAAACACAGAAATACCAGCATTATTGTAGTGAAGGTTTCTGGGCTTTACGCTAACTTGAACACTACTTTGAATATTCCTTAGTAAGATCTGCAGTAACCTATTAACATTAAGATGGAAAGGGTAAGGGAAAAATTTCCATTATTCTTATAAAAATTAATTACAGGGAAAAATAATTGCATTTTTCAAACATATCTAATTTTGTTTTTCATAACTGCGTGAAAAAATGCAAACCAAAGAAAAACCTTCACGAAAACACAAATCACAAACAACCAAAGAACMAGCACTGCTACTTCACAGAAGGAAGAAATATCCTTAAGTGGAAATGAACAGATAAATCAGAGTACTTTGTATCTAGATAATGGGCTTGCAGGGTGCCAGGCTTTTCTACAGACACAGTGTCCATTACCGGCACATCTCAAAAGCAGTTAAGGATTAATTACCAGGAATTTACAAGCCACCAAGACKTTCAACAGCTCCTCTCCTTTCTGCCTGAAGAATAAAGGCTGGGAACTCACTGCTTTAAAAAATAATCGAAGCCTTGGGAGCCAGAAGCACCTTCCCAGAGATTTTCCAGGAGCACCACCCCAGGACTGATTGCTCACTTATTGTGGCGCTTCCACCAGCGCCACTCTCGGCAGTGAGCTGGTGCCACCTCCCGGAGCTGCAGAGGCTCTCACAGGGAGATTGTGTTTTCTTGGGAAAGCTTACAGGGGAAAGCTTAGCGAAGCCAAGGTGTGACAAGTGCTGCTTATCGAGGTCCTCTTCGCACAGGCTCTGCAGCATCCTTTACCAGTTTTAACAACGATGGGAAATGGAAAACCCCGATCTGGTGATAGTTTCTAACCATTTCCCCACCATGTATAACACAGCTGTGTAAGAAGGCGGGGGAAGAATAGAATAAGAAGGAGGGAGGAAGAATAGTACAGGCAAGGGACTTGCCTTGTAATAACTTGTCTGAATATGAGAGATTCACACACAGCTTCCTGCAGCCCCTGTGCCCCGAGAGATCAATGCAGTAGCTTGACCAACAGCCCCCCATTCCCTCATGTGCACACACCATCCCAGAGTCTGAGTCCTGCTGTGCCAAGTGACATGGAATGTGTGCAACACCACCCAACCCAGGCCAGCATGGCACATCAGCAGAGCCCCAGCCCCCAGACTGTGCTGCTGCCTCTGTGGGACTCAAGCCAGGAATGTACACACAATGCAAGGTGAGCTGGTGCTCAACTCCTGCTCACCCTCCAGCCTGCATCCCAGAATCCCAAACCTGTGCTGTTCCAAGGCAACTTTTTGTGAAAGYGTTAAATACATCTCAAATCACAGGAGAATTATTTTAAAATACGCTGTTCATAGTCTTTCCAAGATTAATCCAAAGGATGGCTTCACCTGCTTTTATCTACCCCACTTTCCATTTTGCTACTTTTGGCTTTACAAGGTCATTTTGCCTGCAGCACTGGCACACCCCGGGGGAAAGCTTCAAGGAGTTTGAAGAGCTGCTCTCACCAKCTTGGGAGCTTGGTAATCAGATGTATGCACAGCCTGAATAATTGCATTCCCTGAGCAGGGGTTTTGTTTTTTAAAAGACCCTTAACTCTGGTRTTTGCATATTTTTACATTTTAAATTTAAATTTTAAATTTACCTTCACTRAATATTCACACAACTCACTTCTGTATGAAAAAGTGACTGCATTCTTTAAGAAAAACATGCCCACCCAGCCATGTCAGCAGGTCCCACCACCACCTCAAAATTTTTGTGAGATCCCTCAAATGAGTTTAACACCACTGGACACCAGAAGACTCARTGTGCAGCATCAGTCCCAGTTCTCTAGCACATGGTGTCACTTCTCAGACTTCAGGTCTATGTTTTCAGTWTTTATGGCCTACCAGACCCTTACAAAGCCCACTGAAGGGCTGAAGGCAGAAGAGTTGGTCTCTCTGAGACATATACATSTTACCACAGCAGAGCTGCATGGGTATCCCATGGGAATTTAGGATTGCCTGTCAGATGACAAAGATTATCCTCCCACTTTAGAGTCTCCTCATTTGATTAGCTTTGGCTTTAAGCAGCTGACTTCATTTTCATGTAATTTAAACCTTCAGGACTCTAGGCAGGAGATGACAGCTAAAACCTAATCATTTCTCTGAAGCCACAGAGAGCCAGCTTGTCTTCTCCTGTYTGTACTAAACCATTTCAGGTCAAAAGGAGAATCTACCCATCCTGTAACTCTTATTTTTGAGCAACTTTAGGCTGCCTCAAGTCTTACAAAACATAAATTTTTTTAGCAAACAGCTTTTTCAGTTTGGGCTAAAAGAGTTTCAGCCAGCTTCTTTATGTACAGGAATACTTGACTTACATTAGAAATGAAAGGTAAGGCCAAGTGACTGCGTCAGCTATATCCCCACCCCAAAATTGCCAGAAGAAAGAAAAACGTAACCGCAGAAGTTGCTCTGCGTCTTCAGCCTGCTGAGCAAGATTCCTTTTCATGTGTCCAACCTATTTTTCTAAGGGCAGTTCCGCATTCTCAGCTATATTAAGATTTGTTGTTACTTTTAAAAAAAACATGTTCATCTCACCTCCCAAGATTCAACATAAAGACAGCACTTAAAAATAGAGCACTGTCAAGCCTGGGCACTTACAAATGTGAGTCAAGCCTTCAAAAGTYGCGCAGATTTTCTTTAAAACTGACATTTCCAAAGGGATTAGAAACCTGTTCTTCAGTAATTTTGCTTGCTTGGCAGTCGAGCCCCTAGTCTCTATTTGACTACATGTATCTGGGCTATTTCACTACATATATATCTAGGCTATCATATATCTGTCTAGGCTTTTCTTCCAACCAAAGACAGGCTTTATCTTCCCTCTTTTTTCCCGTTGATTTTTTCCATGCTTTTTCTAACTCTTGCTAACAAAAGCTGAGATACTCATTGAGACAAATGGCTCYACAATGGTGGTGTCTCAGATAAAATTGAACAGCATGAAAACTGCGAGCTGCTCTGAACTGCTAACCCCCCACACCTGGCATTCACTCCAATGCTCTAAAACCTCCTTTCCCTGACACCATGCTGCGTTTCCTACAGCCTTTGGGGCAGCCCAGCTGCACACAACAAAAGACTGAAGGCAGAAGGATTAAAGCACCTCCTCTGGGATCTTGATGGAAGTTAGCGTGGGAAGAAGTCAGRCCTCATGACTTCCCAGTCTGCTTTAACCATCCGACCCCTCATGCCCCTCCTCACCTAGGCTGGGAGGAACACAGCGTGCCTACATTCAAATCCACGAGAAACAATCTTCCATTTTAATAATGGAGAAAAAAAATTAATCCGACAGCTCTGCTGTGTGCCCTCAAGGAAGGGCAGCAGAGACAGCCAAGTTCTTCCACRCAGCACCTTTTTCTAACAAGATCTGCCTTTCAAACAAACCAGGAAAAACAGACATAATTAAAGGGCAATCAAAGCACTGCAGGAACTCTCTGTCAGCGAGATGAAAGATGCCTTTTCTAAATGAAGGCTTGCATACCCAGATCTCTTCTCCTCAGTTTATCTTGGACACCATGCTCCTTTGTCACACAAAAAGCACTAGCAATTTTGATCAGTCCAAAGGCTACATAGGCAGCAGCTTTAGAAGAAATGTCACCTTGTGCAGGCTCCTCTGCCCTAGTGCAAAGCCCAGTTGGAAAGGAGCAGTGTAGGTACTCACCCATGGCACCGGGAGCTGCYATAGGCAATGAGAGCAACTTCCCTGGGTGTCAGCACACCATGAACTCTGACCAGTCAAAGGCATGGCTAACACTATCCTGAAAAGTCTTGCACATCCTTCTGAATAAGGCCCTACACAGACAGACTTGGGACTTTTCCACGCTGATCACCTTGCTCCACATCTATTTCATYTTAAGAGAAGGCAGGTAAATGGTATTTATTTTCTCCTATTTATGCTCCTTTATATTTCTGTGCCCGAAGGATTAAGACATTACTCAACAATCCAAGTCCATTGGATATTTCTTTCTCTATTGAGAATTCAGATAAAAACTTCAGCTCTTTTCTCACACTAGTAGGCAAAAGCTTCTCATTTTAACCRCAGAATGGTTTGAGTTGGAAGGGYTCTTAAAGGYCAWCTAGTCCAGCCCCCTGCTATGGGCGGGRACACATCCCACCAGACCAGAAGGCTCAAAATCCCATGCAACCTGGCCTTAAACACTTCCAGGGATRAGGCATTCACRGCTTCTCTRAGCAGCCTGTCCCAGTGCCTCAGTACCCTCACAATGAAGAAYTTCCTCCTAATACCTAATCTACAYCTGTCAGTTTGAAGCCATTCACCTTGTTCYATATCACTATATCCCCTAGTAAAAATTCCCTCTCCAGCTTTCTTTAAGGCYTCCTTTMGGTACTGGAAGGTATTTTAAGGTCTCTCYAGAGCCACCTCTTCTCCAGGCTGTACAACCCCAACTCTTCAGCCTGTCT